GGAATTCCTTCCCCACCCCCTTTCCTGCTGTTATGCAAATACTATTGGGGCAGGAGATAAAAGATATTTTAAAATTCTTGCATATAAGACCAAGCCAGGATTCTAATTATCCATCTTCTCTTTTTGGCAAATTTCTTGCTATGAAAACTCATTGTTACAGCAGGAATTTAGTTTGTTATTTTAACTGGCGCTTTTATAAACAAATAATAGATGGTGGGGTAGGGGTTGGAAAACATGATGTATGAATAAGGATTTTTGTTAACTCTCTTTGAAATTGGTATTTTTCCTCTTCCCAGGGTTGAAGCTTTGCGTGATGCAGCATCTTCAATGGAACAAGAAAAAGAAACTCTTCTGGAAATGATCCATAATGTACAAAATAGCCAGGACATGAGGAATATTAGTGAAGGTAATTCCTGCCCTAAACTTCTTTTTGAATATGTAAAGATAATATACATATACTTGGAGTGTCTGACAGAGGTTTTTTTTTTAAGTCTCTTAATAGTGGATAGGCTGACACATTATGCTATGTGATAATTTCTTAATACACTACAATTGACTGGATTCAATGATGACAGTAAGCCAAAACAAATCAAACTACATTATTTTAGTGTGCTTTGTTAATCCAGCCAGTGTTTCTTCTGTGGTAAGCTGCTAATACTGATCAAGTCAAAATCTCTGTTAAGTGTCATCAACTCTATTAGAATTCTTATTGTATTCCTTTCTCTATGGATTGTAGTAAAAAGACGATGCAGTAATTATTATTTTATCTTGACTTTTCTGACTTTCAGTCATTTGACATTATGTAAAACTTTAAAACCCAACATTTTCAATTTCAAAATATAGGTGAAAGAGAAGAACTTAATCTGACTGCCAAGCGCCTCATGGGCCGAACCCTCACAGTTGAGGTTTCTGTAGAAACCATACGAAATCCTCAGCAGCAGGAATCCCTGTTGCGTGCTACCCAGATGATTGATGAAATAGTCAGTAAACTCTTGGATGACTTGGAAGACTCAAAGAGCCGGTTAATGTCACTTTATGGAGCATGTACATCTGAGATACCATCTGGACCTGTTGATCAAAAATTTCAGTCTGTTGTAATTGGATGTGCCATAGAAGATCAGAAGAAAATCAAAAGACGCCTAGAGACTTTGCTTAGAAATATAGATAACTCTGAAAAATCCATCATGCTTCTAGAAAACCAAAGAACAACTGCGAGGCAACTCTGCAACAATGGAAAAGATTAAAAGCTTTTGAATGCCACTATAAAAAAGTAAATGTTTTCTTAAAATATATAAAAGCAGAGAAATGCTGCTGTATAATGTACAGGCTTGTTAGTACAGGTCTGATGTCCTGGAATTGAAGGGGACTTACATACTGTACCTCTATAGCACTTACACAAATCCTTTGGCATTCAGAAGCAAAGCTGGAAGAAGATAGTTCTGGAAAAAAAATACCCTTACATTCCTCTGAGGGTAAAATGTATCTCTGATTCCATTAAACAAACAAACAAACAAACTCTAAAGTGTCTGTATAAAGCACATCCTGTGGCAACTACAAATGTTAGGCACTGTAAGAAGCACATAAGCGAGTGACATAACATGTAACCAGTGACGGAAGAGTCACTTGTTGAGATGGGCAGCTATAGAAATCAAATAAATAAATAAGCACATGAACTTTCAGTACTTTTTAATCTATGCTTTTGATCCTATCAACAGGGTCATTGGAATGCTCTATTCAAGGAGCATCCACATCCTTAAAGGGCTTGGTCTATTTAAATGAGTAACTAGTGCCTTATTTGAGAGCATGTAGGCTTTTCATATCCAAAAGATAACCTTTTCATAAAAGGCATCCCATTTATTCCTCTTAATACTGTATTGATTTTAGGACAGTAATATCCTATTAAGCCTTGGAGATACTTTAGCAATATCTGCTTTGTTCTTGAACGATTAATCTAATTTATCATAGACTGTTCAATTAGCAGATTTTTTTCCTCTTTAGTGAATAAACCTGAGAGAGACAATGAGGTGGAAAAAATGCTGTAGTAGATGCAAACAAAATGTATATGCACTTTCTTGTTGCTGAATATTCATAAATAAAATAGATCATGCTCTCTGCATTACATTTCAGTATCTTTTGAGAATTATATTTAGACATGCATAGATCTATAAATCTTTAAAACCTGTTCAATATCAGAATGCCTTACCTACATTTAAAGTGCACTCCTATTATTTAACCTGCTCAAAAACATTACAATATACTTAACAGTTCATACAAATGTCTATACTTATTACATTTCCTCTTTTATCTTCTAACAGTGTTCCAACCTTCTTGAAAAATTTGCACAGGAGCAATAGGTGAAAATTGTTCATCTTCCACTTCTATGAAAAGATCTCTGCTCACTGGATCTCTGGATGCAACCTTATATCTTGAGTAGGGTTCTAGATTTTACCTGATACTTAAAGCATGGAATATATAATTCCATTCCACATGTACCATATAGTACATGCAGAAAAACAAAAGCAGTAGAGTGTTCCCAGAAAAGCATGGTATAGGAAAATGTTCAGTCACTTAGCAGAATTATCCTCACAAATCTTAGATAATGTGGATGTTGAAAAATCTGAACTATATACTAGGACTGTGCATTGCTTTAGGTTCTAAACAGTACAGAATATACTGTATACAGTATATTGTGCTCTTCCATGATAAATCTAGTAATACTTCTAAGGATTTCAAAATATAGTTGGGGATTTTGTAAAGTAATGAGTTAGCTAAATTTGTATTATTTAGGCCCAATATACACTGACTTTAAGAGGTAAACTGGTAGTTTTTTATAGGTTTCTATTAGAGGACAAGAAACTGAAGGAGAAAAATAGTGTTAGGGCAAGTGAAACAAAGCAAAACACCCCCCTCCCCTTCAATTACCTTCCCAGGGATTTAAAAAACAATAAATATGGTCAGCTTAGCCACAAAACATTTAGAAGGCCAAAGAATGTTCACAAAGCTGGGAGAAGATACTAGGAGGTAAGCATAGGCTCTGGAAACCAAGCCAGGATAAGATAACCCCCATAATAGTAACTTTCAAAGACAGCCGTGTTTGAAAATTAGTGTCTTTTTGTCTTCTCAATAAACCATTATCTCATAGAATCCATTCCACCGCTAATATCACTAAACATGGTGTGCTGATAAATCCAATCATATCCTGTCAATTATCTTACAATATCCAGATATGTATCCTAATTTACATACAGGTAGTCCTCCTTTAGCGACTGCCTGGTTTAACAACTGTTCGCAGTTAGAACTGTGATGAAAAGTAATTTTATGACCAGTCCTCACATTTACCACCTTTGCAGGTCTGTAAAGCAAAGGAAAGCTGAAGTAAGATAAGTACAGAGTGTCACTTAAGAGAACACTTAATGACTGAGTTGCCAGTCCCAACTGTCGCTAAATGAGGACTATCTGTAACTATATAGAAGGGTCATATCCTCAGCTACTTTTAGGTTTGCTTCTGCTGCCTCCAGTACTATTATAAACAGTTTGTGCTTCAGCTGAATTGTGTGGTGATCTCTAGTTTAAATTAACTTATAGAAATTTGAGGGAAACTTCTATAAAAACCACATCTTATGAAGAGAGATAGAAAAAATTAGGAATAACTTTGAGGAAAGATTACTATGGGGGATACAGTAGCATTTTTCAAGTCTGTCTTTTAAAGGCTGTCTCACAGAATGCAAGGTGTAGAATAATGCTTATAACTTATAGGAAAAAGGAGAAATTGTTAGGAACAACTTGTGATCAGTGGTAAGAATTTAACTCTGACTTACCAGTACAGTTCAATAGTGGAGCCAATAACAATTATTTCATTTGGACTTCTGCGCTGACAAAGATATAGGACTTGAAAGCTTTAATGGCTGTTTCCAATTCCAGAGGAAGAGGGTAAACACACTAAGCATTTTATCAATTTATCAAATTTCTCAATTTATCCAACAGGAGTTTGTACATTTACTATAATTTATTTTTTAAAGTATCTGGATAATTTGTGAAATATTTGGAGCAACTTGTCATAAGGCTTAACTATCAATAAAAGGGTATTCTTCCTAAATTGTCAAATACAATCTATCACAGTTAAGCAATATTTGAATTTCTAAAATGTAATAAAATTGGTTAATTAGGATATGAGATGGTAAAATGATTCTGTGTTTCCAGTGTCACATTATGCAAAGAAGCAACAGTTGAGAGTTTATTTGCTACTTTGATAAAATGATGTCCAGCAAATTAAGCCTAGCCTCAGGGATTGATTTGATGAACCAGTCATAAGGTCTTCATTATCCATCTCCAAAAGGATTAGAAGGTACCAAAACATAGATACTGCCTATAATACACCAGATCAAGTTCTAAAGTTTAAATGGTTTTAACAACTTCTCTGTATCACTTCAGCATTGTAGATTCATATTTTCAGTGCTCACATACTTAGTACCTTGTGATCTGATAAATGCAGGATGTTTTGATACCTGTGTGAATCTATACCGTTCCCTTAACTATAAAAGTATTTCAAAGTCTAAGTGGGTTTAATGAATACCACATATTGGCATTAGCTACTATTAATTTAACAAGATATATGGCAACTTACTGATGTTGTTGTCAGTAATGGAGACCCTCCCATCCCACAAGCCAAATTTAGTTGCCAAACTTATCCCAACTATCCAGTGAGCCCCACCCCCAATCTCTCTTTGAGTTCATCCCATCCCATCCCTTACTGACAAACCATCTTCTGAAGATGGAGGAAACATTTGGGGTTTGCTGTTACTTTTCTAGGAGAGGCAAAGTCTATTTAAGTTGGATCGCTGGAACATGAATGGGGTGGGGAGTACACTACATCTTCACCAATGGTGTGAGGCTGCAGATATATCTGGGCATAATCAAAACGGCAATCGCATATTACAAACCTGCATTTTGCTATTATATACAACCAAGAAAGTAAAATCAGAGTCTTGTTCACAAGTACAAACATGTAAGGCTATCATTTAATGTAAAAATTTCCATATAAAAATAGCATGCATGCAGAACCTAGGTATTTAAACCAGTATTTTTTATCAGACAACGGACAACTTTGAATATGTGTTTACTTGTCCCATAAAGCAAGACAAATATAATCTGGACCCGTATATATAGAGTCACCTAGTGACTAGCTATAGTTGTTTAAAGGAAGAAATTTGGTCCAATTTTTCAAAATGAAAAGGGATATTGATTGCATATCCTACCTCATTACTAACAATGAGAATGGTTACAAAAGCAAGAGGAATGGTAGGTTGTTGAGTATGAAATGCGGGCCAAGTAATCATTGGAAAAAAATGTAATCATTTTTAGATTATAATTAATTTAATAGGATGTAAGAACCCTGTCTCAAAATACAAGATACAAACTTCTGGTAAGAAAAATCTCTTGAGTGTAATGTTTTAGTGTTTATGAACATAAAGTGTAAAATAATATTCATATAGAAAAAAAATGTTGTAATCAGGCTGGCAGAATTCCAGCTCTGGTCTTGAATATAATTGTGCTCCTAAACTATTGATATTTGAACATTTCTTAGAAACAGTAATTAGCTGCTGGCAGAAGGATGTTACAGAAATACTGTAGGAATATTACACAATTTGTAAACAGAAAACAATATTGTAGATGCATGCTTCATCAGGGAAAATATGGTTAACATTTTATGAATAATATTGTAACATAAGATTTAATTTTTTTTAACACCCTGAACCTAAACATATTATATGGAGGTACATTAGCATCAGTGGAACAGCAGCGAGATCTGTGCACGTTTACTCAGAGCAAGTCCCATTAATCTGGTGGAATTCACTACTAGGTAAGCAGACATTAAGACAGCAACTTTACATTCACACAATGTCATTAAAAACAGGCACATCTTTTAATACCAGAAAAGAAAAAGGGCCTTACTTCCTTAATATGGAATGCACAATAGATATAAGATGCATTTTAATCTTTTGATAACAGATCTCTTCATATTCTTCATAAGAACGTATGAATATATAACCTATAGAGTTTTTTTTTAAAGGAATTTCCTATATTCTGTTTGGTTGTACCGTTTATCATTTACTTGTCCTGTTATATTTTAGAATGTATTGTATATCTGACAATAATTGACAAAAATATATAAATGTAGCAGCATAAACATTACTTTTTGGCACAATACAATAAAAAAAAGTTAAGGCCCACAGTGTAGAGAAAATTGAAATGTGCCAGTACCATTAGAAAAAGTTTTGTTTGAATTTATCAAACAGCTTGTTTTATTGTCAGAACCTTCTGCTTAGACCTAATAACTATTTTGTTACCTGAATCTTTGACCATGTTTTTATAGATATACACTGCAGTTAAATTTCATAAGCTATACAAATATTGCACCACCAATGTTGCCAAAATGTGTACTGGACAGTTTAAAAAACTCTTAATTTCTGCTTCATTATTAAGGCTCTGGCTCTGAGCCACAGGATCTAACAAGTCGAAAAACTATTTTGTCCTGAACAATATGAATGTGATATTTAAGCATTTCAGCTCAAATTTTGTTTAAAATGAAACCTACTGTATACATTAATACATCATTCCTTTCAACTAGAAAGTTGTCCTACCGAATGTCAAATGAATGCATGATCAATGTTATTATTTCTGAGCCACCTGGGATCTCATTATTTACCATTACGAATCATTCATTTTAACAGCAGTATTCCCTATCAGTGTAGATCCAATGTGTGCAACATCTGCTAAAGCACTGATAAAACATCTCTATAGCCAGTTGTGTTCCTTAAGGACTTCACTTAAACAACTCGGTCAGACCATGATTTCATCTAAGTGACAGTCCTAGAGTATGCTGCAGTTGCTGAAAGGGCTTCTGTTTTTCTTGGTCCTTTGTTTGTTTGGCCTAAGGTTGATGACATCACCACCATTAAGCAAGTTAGAATTCTGGCCAGAATGACTTCCACCTGCTGTATTGAAAACACCTATATAAAATTAAAACACAAAAGAGAGTTGTATGTATGGTAACTGGCAATCTTTTTAAATGGATCAGATCTATAACTCTACAATTAAAGCAGAGCTGGAAGCCTCAGTAAGTCATAGTTTTATATTTAAAAAATCAAATTATGAATTGCTTTATTGTGGGACTACATACAGAAGTTCAATATATCTGTAGAAGAGACAGTTCATAACACTCTTTTCATCAGGTGCCTTTAAAAGAAATAGCAAGCTGCTTCTACATCTTCATCAGTATTTTTGCCATTAGTTAGTGGAAATTACATCATTCTAAATTTCTTACAATATGAGTGGCTGACACTGAAAGTGGCTAGCTTTCATTATTAGGTGGCTTTGATGCTGTGGCCAAAGACTGATTTTACAAAAGTAAAATAGCACAATACTGCCTGGTTGCAGTGCACAGCTGTATACATACCAATTCTGTTACTACTTGTGTGTACAACTTCTGGATCTTCCATTATTCGTTGCTTAAGTTTTTGAAGGTACTTCTCAGCCAAATACCTAAAAACTGTAGCATACAAAATATCAAGGCCTTAAGAAAAATATGTATATTTTATTAGGAAAGCCATAGATAGCTCTTAGTACTATTTATCCAATTTTAAGTGAGAAGTTTGCTAGAAAAATTTATATATGCAAAATTACTCTCAAAATTAGAAAAAGCTAAATGTAATACATTTTCAGTAGTTATCACATGCCAGGTAGTATCTATTCCACAATTTAAGATACATGATAAATGTAATGAATTAACATATGATTTTTCAAGGGCTATTTTGATGTTTTTGATACTTCATAATAACAGAGATGAACTTCACACACATGCCAAATATTTGCTTATTTTACAATGATTCTATAGTGCTAAACATGCTAGTGCAATTTTGATCTCTGCTGAACAAACTACCCATCTAGGTATATTCTAAAGCCAACCTAAATCTTCAGATTTTATTTCAGGATTTCACTAAGCTCTTTTAAGGTTAGCAAAGCACAAATCCCTACAGCTTACTTATACATAATAATATGTATAACACATTAAACTCAGAGTTACTTAACATTTTAAAAGTAGCTACAGCAGTCTCTCTTATATAGGCTAGCAAAAAAATTAAACACACACGTAACTTGTTAAAATCAAGACTGAAATGTCTGTAATGAATACTGCATTTTCTGTCAATAATTATAATGATTACAGAAACATAGGTGTCTTCATTATACAGTGGCAAAAGTGGCACTTTGGGTAGAACATTGTTCCATTCATTTTAATAATCTTATTTCCAGGTTGCAAACTTCAGTTCTCCGAATATTTTGGATCAATCGTTCTCAGCCCCTGCCTGTCCTACCCATTCGAGAAAAACTGAAAACAGCTCCCTAGGAATTAAGGTTTTTCCAGCCTTGTCTACTTCCCTTTGGAGTTTAAGTTCAGCTTGTCAAAAATAATTTGTTCATCTATAATTAGTCCTTAAGAGTTGTTATACGGTTTTTATGTATGGATGTGTAGAAGTTGGTGATTTCAGGACATTCTGTTCCCTCTGACATGCCATTCTGGGAGGGGTTGGGCAGTTTCTGGAAGGAAACTACTGTACATGATTTGGAGGTGGTTTGAGACATTACTTCCAGTTCAAGAATTTGGAACTGCCAAACCATCCCCAGAATGGCATTCTTTAAATGGGAAGCAGTTCCCATTTAAGTTCTTTTGGGGTTTTGGAGTTCTTTGGAATGTTCCATTTCCAAATCTCAGAATTTTGCACATGTCTTGTTCTGTGCCTGAGAGCAGTTTGATATAGTGGGTAAGGAGCTTGTCTAGAAACCAGGAGACGGTGAGTTCTAGTCCTGCCTTAGGCACAAAGCCAGCTGGGTCACCTTGGGCCAGTCCCTCTCCCTCAGCCCTAGGAAGGAGGCAATGGCAAACCACTTCCAAAAACGCTGCCAAGAAAACTGCAGGAACTTGTCCAGGCACTTGCCAGGAGCCACAACTGATTTGAAGGTGCGCACACACAAACACACACGCACACACCTTTTGTGCCTGCACAGAGTATCTAGTCAGGGAACATTTACAACTGGGATTAGGTTACGACACAAGTCCTACCCTCCATATGCAACTGCACAGAGAATATAAAGAGAACCATATGAAATCTAGTTGTCACAGAACTAGTAAATTCTTTACTTTTTTTTTTTGAACCAAACTTTGAGCCAGTCACTCTCTCTTAGCCCAATCTACCTCACAGGGTTGTTGTGAGAAAAACAGGAGCAGGAGTATTAGGTATGTTCACCACCTTGACTTGACTGACATACTGTATGTACATACATGAAGGTGGGATAAATAATAATAATAATGCATCTCAAGACTGCAGCATTTAAGACTAACAATCAAGACGATCATGGCTCAGAGTTCTTCCATTTAAAAGAGGTTCTCTGAACTTAGAAAATCCGGTGTCAGAGGCAAGTACAGAAAAAGGCTTGTTGCTTCCATGAGAACCCAGAACTATGCTAGTGCTTGGGAAAAAAAGAAACTAAGCAAACCAAAAGATTAAAAAATACATCTTACCTTCTGTTACATTTAAGTCTTCCTTTACAGATGCCCGATAAAATCTTAATTTTAGTTTTTTCGCAAGTGCCTCTGCTTCTTCACTGTTTATTAGAAGGAAAAGGCTTGTTTTAGACACCAATTATTTTTCAGTAAAATAGAATGTATTAATTTAAACTGAATTGAGTTGATAATCATGAAAGTAGACTTAAAAGGGCAGTTAAACAAATGGTTCTCTTACTAAAAAGATGACAGAATTAAAATTGATTAAACATTTTGCCTGCTAAAAATCATAATAAAAAAATGAGAATGAGCAGAAATTACAGTATTTGGTTTCAATATTAGTTTTTCATAATTTTAAATCTTTAAAATTAAATAGGCCTATGCTCGTTGGGCAGTGGAAGTGTGTGGTTGGTAGGTAGTTAGGTAGGTAGGTAAATAAATAAATAAATAAATAAATAAATAAATAAATGCTATATAAAAGATAAGCATAATTAATATTCAAAACTATATCAGTGTTTTTTGAACTCACAATAAAATCACAGATGTTGCATTTGCAAAAAGCAAGCCCCATAGCATCTCCCTATGGCACTGCAATCAAGTGTTCTGTTCTTAAACAGGGCATTTGAAACTAAATCACTCTGCTTTCAGCAACAATTAGAGCTAAACTATTTCCCGACAGTACCCGACCCTCACTCAGAAATGCCAGTCAGCTTTGTTCGTGTCATATGAAAAGCAGATAAAGAAAAGAGAAGGAAGGTGTGCTGAGCCACTTCAGTTCCTCCCTCTAAGATATTCCTTCCGCAGTCTAAATGCACTTCCAGTTCTGGGGGTGGGGAACTTCTGGGGAGAGTATACGTCATGGACTTTTGTGAGTTGATGAAAGACACCTTTTGATGCATTTTCTTTTTATTCTTTTATTAAGACATCATATAGTATTTACCTTTGGTTCCTGCAATCTTTCTTGGCAAGGATTATATTTACAAGTAGATAATATTTCATTTTGTTTGGCTGTGAACTTACGGTAGCTTGACTTTTTAAATGCCTTGGAAAGGGGGGAGGACTGCTACTGAATAGTATGCAGATTAAGAGTTCTCTACCTGTATATGTAGGTATTCTGTAATGATGGTTTAACATGTATGTACATGTCTCTAATGCTTTAATTACCTTTATTTAGAGTCAAGAAAAAAGTCAAAAATACCGGCTGGCGTTCTCTCTCAGGCTGGCAGCAGTACTTTTTATCCAGTAGAATGTGGTTTTCTTCTTTTTCTCTTCTGCCTCTGCACTGGGTAGTTTTATTCCATAGCAGTCCCCAGTCCCTTGCTGGGTCTTCAGAACCTCTCACTAACAAACCTTCCCTACTCTGGCCCTTCTTGAATCCACAGTTCTTCCATAGTGCATTTCCCCCCCATCCATCTCAAGTCCATCAGTCAGCATTGCTCTTTAGTAAAACAGTCTTCAGCAGCCAGCCCTGTATAGATCGTTCTTAGACTGCCAGCCAGCACACTTCCTCCCAGTTCTCTGCCACACAAAAAAAGTTCCCTTCCCAGAAGCTTGTTTTTTAAGTCTCTACCTTCTTTGCCTATCGGCCACCCCTCCTTTTATCCCATGGAAAAATCTATGGGGAACCAAGTTACTTCTCCTACTGTCGGGTCCTACTTAGCAATTAAATTAAATTAAAGCAAAGTGTTCGTTTAGGTGCTTGTGCAAATATATGAGATTCACAGGAAGACATGGGCTCCTTCACTCTGTCATAGTGTACAAGGCTCTAACTTTATACGACTCTTTTGAATATCAGTTTGCTTTATATGACTCTTCTGAATATCAGTTTGCATCCCTACCCAGCCGTACCTTAAAACATTATCTGCAGCATAGCAATACAGTACGCCCATTATCTAATATACAGGTTGCCTGCAAGGTGAATGTCTTTTTAAAATTACCAATTATGCTTAAAAGACTTGTTTAATAAAATGTAATGAAAGCACCTACTTTTTTATACAAGAATAATCAAGGAGGTCAATTTTATTTTGAACAAGAACTGTGGGAATATCTCCGACTTCAGATGTTACTTTCTCTCTCCAGGTAGGAATTGCTTCAAAAGATTCCCTATCAATGGTTGAAAACACAAGCACACAAGCCTGGGCTCCTAAAAAAATAAAAATAAAAATAATAATAATAATAATTTTAACACACATTGTTTCCAAAAAATTGGATAAATAATAAATATTTGGATAGATACATTGGATACATTTATTTATTTATTGGACTTATAAAGCCATATGACTCAAAGAATGTGATTCTGGGTAGCATAAAATGGGGAAAAAAACAACCATATATTAAAACATACATAATATATAAATATGAAATACAAAATCTAAAATAGCGACCAAACACAATAATAACACTAACCAAAAAGAGACTCCCTTCAACTGGACCTGAACGCCTGGGGAAAAAGCCAGGTCTTAGCAGCTTTCCTAAAGGTGAGCAGAGTTGGGGCCTGTCATATCTTGGGAGGGGAGATCATTCCAGAGCACAGGGTCAGCCACCGAAAAGGCACGCTTCCTAGGTCCCTTGATGGCAAAGATTAAAAGAAGGAAACTGGAGCATGCCCTCCCTGTGGGAGCATGTGGGGCAGGCAGATTATTATGTAGCTTAAGCCACATTTATATAAGGTAGACTGCACTCTTGCCCCCCCTTTTTTTTGCAGCTCTGTGGCTACAATTGCTGAAACTTGGTAGTATAGTTCTTGACTATCTTGAGGCAGTACATTCACAAATGCTGCCAAATAGCCATAACAAAATAACTCCTAAGTAAGGAAAAGAAAAAAATGGAAAAGGAAAGAAAACTACTCATGTCAGAAAAAAATGGCAAGAGGTATGGAAAATATGTCATATGTCCCTATTTATTTATTTATTTATTTGGTATTACTATCCCAATCACTACAGCCAACATTTTGGTTTAAATGAGGCCTATAGCCACCAAAAGTTTGCTTTTCTCTGACCTAGGCAATAAAAAGAGCATTTTAAAAATCAGTTTTGCAAATAAATTAATTAATAAATAGAGTAAGAGAAAGGGCAGTCCCCTTATAAAACCCAGACTTTTCTGACTGCATGACTAAAAGGGGTCCTGGTTCTCAGGATCAACCTTTAATTTGTTTATATTGCCACTTAAAGAAAACCATGTAAGGAACCCCTATCTAGGAGAAAAATACTTTAAGTTGAACAATAAACATTCTGGCTTATTATTATATGAGTTGGCCATCCATGAAATTTGATCCAGCTCCCCAACTGAATGAAAGGTAACCTTATACTTTAAAGCAGTGTTCCTCCACCGTAGCAACTTTAAGATATGTAGACTTCAACTCCCAGAATTCCCCAGCCAGCCATGCTGTTTGGTGAATTCTGGGAGTTGAAGTCCACATATGTTAAAGTTGCTAAGGTTGAGAAACACTGCTTTAAAGCAATCTAACTGAATTCTGAGCAGCTTCTCTTGTACTATGATCAATAAGAAACCGGTACACTTGATATAACCCAATTTCCTACACCTTAGTTCAGGTTCCTTGCAGAGTTATAATCCCTTCTGCAAAATCACACTTATAGGGTATGCAGGGTTGAAGGGTCGATGAACTCTAATTTAGCTGGAAGAGCAATTATTAAAATAACATTATCAACCTTGCAAAATAAAGCTTAATTTGATTAAGGAATTCTATTTAAGAAGCATAAGAATTTGATTTAAATATGAGAGGAAGACATCATAACGGTAGTTGAAACATTTAATGTCTATAAAAAGGTAGCTAGGTTATATATTAAATAAGGATAGGAAATCTGTGGCATTCCAGACATTGCAGATCCCCAGTATACCCAGGATACATGGCCAGTGGTAAGAAATGCTGCAGGATACCTACCCTTGTTCATATTTGTTCATATTTACCTACAAGTATATCAGTTACATTTCTGACTCTTTGGATTAATTAGCAGTTCATAATCATCCTACAGGTTAGTTAGAAGGTTCAAACTGCATTTCATCAAAATAATGGTATGAAAGATTGAGACATGAATTTAAATTAGATCATTGTTATTTTTTGAAATACATTGCATAATAACTTTGTAAAGTATCTGTATAAAAATTACCAGTGCAATCCTATATATAACCACTCAGAAGTAAGTCCCGTTATTTCTCAGGTAAGTGGATGTAAGATTGTACCCTAAATCTATCTTCAACATGGAACCATCTCAATACTCCTAAAGTGGAATCACCACCATTTTATGAATCAACAGAGTCAAAGTTACATTTGGGCTTTGGTAAGAATCAGGGGCAAACAGCTGATTCCCCCCCCCCCAAAATTCCAAATGCAGCCCTTTGGGCTTTGAAGTAGGTTAACAGCTTCTCAGAGTTACATATTTCAACTGAAACATGGCTTGCCTCTTCAACATGTGGTGGATAAAAAAGATAAAGATTCCCTAAAGTTGAGGTTGATTCCTAGTGATTGCAGGAGCAATCTCTGTAGTTTTCTTGGCAGCAATATGACAGGAGTTTGCCACTGCCTTTTTACAGGTGTTTAGTTTTATTTTATTCCCAAGGCTAGCCTACAACAGCAGGATTTCTTAATGTTCTCCAAGTACTGATCAGGCCTGACCGTGCTTAGCTTGTCTCAGTTAGGAGCTGCCACCTGCTATGAAGTACATTAGATGCTTCTTTAAAAGATTACTTTATTTTTCTATTCTGGGGACCATCTAAAAATGCAAGAATTACCACTAGTGGTATTAATTACTTTCACTGTTAGAATTTGCAAGAGTCAAGTCTTTTACCTGTTTGGTAATCAAGACCACACTAACCATGCACAAATACTTTCTAGCAATATCTACATTCATTCATGGGCTGAAATATGTTGTTGCATGTTTTATTTTGTGAAGAGGCTCCAAACCAGAGTTGTTGATAGCTATTGGAACTGTCAAAGAAACTCTTCCAATATCAGAACTAGAAAACAATCTAGCAAGAACCATTACGGCCACTACACTGAACCAATATCACACATAATATTTTTGGTAGCCTTCACGTGTGGCACTCTGACACTAGAAGTTGATGAGTATGTGTAACCCAGAGAGGGCTGTAGTAAAGGTGGGTAAAT